TCCGAACGCAAAGCTGGTGCGGCTCAAAATATTAGCAACTGGGTCCACAGGAATAAATGCAACAGCATACCATCAAGACAAAGGGAAGCTTAAGTCGAAGCTGAGTCGGTCAGAGCTGAGTCGAGTTCAAACGGAGGCCTCTCACTGCGAGACCGTCGGCCCAGTGCTGGTGATGCTCCCCTTCGTTCCCACGGAATCCGGTCAAATGATTTCCTCAGGGTGGGGTAGGATGCTGCCTTGATCGCCCCCCACCCCCCCACCCGGCAGCAAAAAACCAACCCCCAGCTCCTTGCTGCTCATGGACTCAGCTTGGGCTTTCTAGGGCTGATTTTCTGATCCCAAGGAGACCGGTTGGATGGCAGGGGATTTCAGGGGAAAATAGATGGCCCTGGTAAATGGAATGAAACCCATCTAAACCAGTGCCTTCTACTATTAAAACCAAACTAACCTAAAAAATAAAAAAGCACATTCCATCTCCCTATCTCCCTGAAACCAAAGGGGTTCCCCTCAAATCCGATTCGCCTCATCGTCCACAGCAATGACGCGGGCGCCCTCAATCTCGAAGCCCAGGGGACCCTCCTGGCCAATGCGAGCCATGTGGGTGGCTTTAAGGATCCCCCGTGCACCTTGGGGGCGGTCCTTTTGACACCTGCTTCTCAAAATTGGGCACCCCAGGTGGTGTTCTTTTGCGGCTTCCTCTTACCGTTCACAAAGAGGACCCCGAACGTTTCAGAAACACAATGTAAATCACAAGGCGATTCGCAAACCTCAGAGCTTCAACCCGTAATCTGCAGAGGGTAAAACGTGAACACATTGCCAACTGCTTCCCTGCACCAAGTTTCGGGGCCCAGAGCTGCATTTTGGTCTTGCATGACTGCCATCTGCTGCCTACAAGAACGGAAGAGGCCTCAAAGACCAGCTCCCGGTGGTTGGCTTTGGCTTCGGGAAGCAGGAATCGCTCCTCAGAGGCTTGGCCAATGGCCCCAGCGCAAACTGGAGGTGAGTCACAATCCAAACCCGGTACAAGAATGGTCGACCCAGAACCATGCTTCAAGAACTAAGAAGCCGGCCGCAGCTATTTATAGCTGGGATCGTCCCTTACTAACCTTCACTTAACCGGGTTTTGATTGTGGTTCAGGTGTTGAGTGCGGAGGCAACAGGGTGGTTTACTGAAGGGCCCGCAGGCCGAGGTAGTGTGACTCGAACCCCTATCAGACTGAACTGGGTTTTCGGGCTTAGCCGTTTCGGGTTGCCTGGGCTTCGCAAGAAGATTCGGGATACGGGCGCACACATACTTGCTGGGCGCCGCAGCAGAACTCTGGGGCTTGGAATGGCCGGTTGCACCCGAGAGCTGCACGTGAAGCAACAATCACACCCAGTGCGTCAGGAGAAACCATATTCTTCAACTAGGTCTTGAGACGATATCAGTCTTGCCTCTGGACCGGGCACATGAAGATGCGCGCAGCTATCGAACAGATAACAGTAAGATATGCGGCCACCTGCCTTCGTTTTGGAGAAAGCGCGCAAATTTGGCTATTTATGGGGGTTGGGGGGGAGGGAGGGGAGGGGGGAGGGAGCCCAACTAAGACCTAAATAAGGCAGAGCTATTTTCGGCTCCCCCCTCCTCCCCTCCCTCCCCCCCAGCCCCATGAGATATTGCCCCCGTGTTTTGCTTCACATCGACCGTCCACATGATGGTTGCCATGTGCTTCAGTCCGCTGCCCATGACCTGACAACCTTTCAAATCCCAATGGGCCATGGAAGAAAACCGGAAGCTGCATCTTGCAGCATATGAACCTCTTGAACGGCAGGCGGTTCTTTCTCTAGTCAGCTCTGGCTTTCAGCATCGCCACTGCTGACGCGCGGTGAAGACTCCGATACGCGGAAGTAACCCAACAAGCAGTGTGTTCCATGCAGTACACCATGCAACGGCACAACGGCACCAGGCGTGTTGCGCCGAGATGCCGCGCCCTGGGCCAAGCCACTGGCCTCGGGGATTGTTGCAACTTCCCCTCGGGGGGGGGGGGTTGCTTGCAAAGATTTGCCAGAAAGGCTCCTTTCTCCGGGGGGTTGGGGGGGGTGGTTTGTTTTGGGGGGGAGGGGGGGGGGGGATTAGTTCAAACGAGGGGATCCCATGCGACATCCAGTCAGTAGAACAGTGCGGGAACCCAAGCACTTGTGGACAAAGCTATCATGTGGCTGAGAGAAGTTCTCTTCATTCTCACCATGTTCGTGTCCAACAAACAAATGCCCAGACCTTGACACATGGCTTCTGCGAAGATCCTAATCTGTGAAAAGAACGTCTCAAGACAGCCCTGGAATTCTGCCGTCAAATTGGTTTGTGTTGCCCAGGCCGACGCAGACTGTGCTCTTTTGAATTCTGAAGGGCTGATACATTGCGGATACGCTAGGCAACCTAAGCAAACAAGAACCGCCTACCTGAAACCTTTGATGAAAACCAAACATCGTAAAGTATCGAATGATAACAAATTCTTTGAGAGCAGTATCTGTGGTGGCACGCAATCACACATGACAATACCTGATCGCTTTGGGCCTCCGCGCGGCCGCTTGGGCCTCATCTCGGAACTTGGCGGCTTCTTTGGCCGCCTTCTCTGCTGCCTCCCAGCTGATCGCTGGCCAAACATGGCGAGCGCATCGCCCAACGTCGATCCATGGCAACTGGAAAGATCGCATGGCAAATGGAGCGCATTGCCCAATGGATGTACATATACGCGTGCCGTCTACACATATGCTACCACACCCTGCCATAATCGGGCGTCCAATCACCCCGCCTCCTTCGCCCGTTCCTGCGCGGCCTGTGCCATGGACGCTGCTTTGGAGAGCCATGAGGACGCCATGCCGCCGGGAAAAAACAGGTGCCCAGTGCTTTTGGGGCGACTTTTTTGGGGAACACTGAAATCGCCCTGACTTTTTCAAGCGAAACTGGGAAACCGAACATTCTTGAAATTCCCCTGGTGGAAGGTGCCTTGGGATGATGCGTTTGGAGAGATGGTTCCGTCCCATGGAGATGGGTGATCTTAGCATCACGACCCATCTGTCACTTGGCATCTGGTGGGTCGACGCTGGAACTTGTGGTTTGTACTTTGGCCCTGGCAATGTCGCCGATTCATGCTACTCGACTGTGAAATGGCTGAAGCGCGTGCTTTCCAAGGGTAAGAAACAATCGCGCCGTGGATCCTGTGGCTGGTATGGGTGAGACAGCCGGGTAGCAAAGCGCTACTCAACTGCCACAGCCACTTCGCTCGGCCTTGGAATGCCTCATAAACAGAGAACGCAGGCAACCAAAAGCATCTTGACGTTTGTTTGCGTGTGCGGAGCATGCAGAGAAGCAGTAAACAGCAAAAGGCAAAGTTGTACATTTACTATGCCAGCAGCAGGGACCCTTTTCAGCGAAGAAAATGGTAGCCTATGTACAAAATAAGGCACCACGGCCAGAACTGTACAGTGAGCTGGAGCGCCAACCTATGAAGCATAGAAGTGAGCAGCGATCAAATTGCAAGTCTGCAAAGCCAGACGTTTCTGACAAAATGCGGCCGAACTCTGATCAATGACAACGATATTCATTCCACGAAGCACCGCTCTTGCTTTCAGACCTGTGGTCAGCATATGTGTGTGTGTCTAAAATGGGTTCAAGTATTGATGTCAGAACAATGTCTACTTGGAGTGCTCGGGCTCTAGCTGCCAGCTCCTCAGTGTTGTCTCCTTTGCGCAAACTGCAGACAGATCTTTGCTCTGCACGGAAATCGCAGTGCCCCCAACATCTCATCTCATCTTAAGACTTGGCCCATGTCCCCTCCGGCCTTGTGTGAGTGCCGACCAGCTGATCCGCAAGAGCCACGCGGAGCTTCATGCATGGAGTGAACTTCACAGCGTGTGCAGAGCAGGAGCTTGGGGCTCAGCTGCGCAAATCCAAATGTCACAACTCCTGCTCTGCAGAAATGCCTGGCGAAATGCCTGGCGTGTTAGACTGTACATGCTCGCCTTCTCGTAAACTCCGAGAAGGCTCGATCTCTTCTCGCGAGGGCCACAACTAGACCGAATTGATCCAAAGTTCCTCGCGGAAGAATATCCAGCAGCAATCAAAGGCTGAGGCCAACAAACCGCAAAGCATGATTTCATGACTCTAGCACTACTGATGAGTCTTGAACCGCTGTTGATATGATAGGAATTAGCCGCCGCCACCGCAACTGCAATTAGGTCAGCGTCAGCATATCTCTATATATATATATATATATGGATATGTATATATATATATATGTATTCTTTATCTGCAACTATCCCAGGACAATACCGATTGTTGCGATTGGCTTGCTCCAACCCCAGTCTCTTGTGGGCTGGCTATAAACTGGCACCCGCCTGCTTGGTAGTATGCTTTGGCCAGCACTTTTGTCTCTGCCAATGAACTTGGTGCGTGATGGATGCTAACATCTAACAAAACACGATACAACGAATAAATAACCCAACAAGGATCACATGCCATGTCTGGCTTCCAAGTTGTAATAATCTTGCCAAAAACTCTGCGAGGCCAAGCTCCCGGCAGGTGCGCGTGCAACGGTGTGGCCTATGAGTCTATGAGCTTCGGTGGCTTGAGAGGGGGTTGTCCTGGTGAATTTTAAATGGACAAAACACATGGGCAACAAATCGGGCGCTGGTACCATTTTGGGTAGGTGCACCACCCATTTTAGTCCATTTAGTTGGGATTAAGGACAATGGCAAAGCATCATGCGTGCATGCTTTCCATTTGGTAGGCTAAGCCTACCTGCAATCCCAAGAGTCATGCAGTAATTATTAGAATAAGTTCGATGATTGCCATGCTGGGCTCACCCTTCCATGTATGCGTTGCCCTCTCTTCCTTGACACGTGCAAGTGATTGTAAGTACATGTGTAATGAAAGCTTTGTGATTGATCGGGCCTTGCTTCAGGAATTCAAGGATGCAACCCCAGACCTTCGGCTGTCAGGAAGTAACTAAGCATACCACTGCCCAATCAAAAAATCGTTTGGCATTCTTCGCACGGCCACACCCTCGAAGCGGCAAGACGTTCACGCCAGTTGGCTCTCAGATGGCTCAGGCTCTGGTTGGCCGGGTGCGTCAACTTGCGCCTCGCCCGGCTGGAGCTTGACCTGGCCAAAAGAGCGACGGCATCCGCCCAAAGCGACGGCCACGGCGTGAAATGTGTGCTGAAGCGTCGCAGAACTTGATTCAGATTTTGTATGTATTTGTTTGCAGGCACCTGTTTTTGAGTGGTTTTATATTTTGGGGGTACCCTAAAGAAGACACACCTATGTGGCAAACCATGTCACTCGGGCACCGTGGCGCCAAACATCCTCTCGCCTCCAAATGGCTGTGCCCCAGGTCTCAGCTCAGATGGCTCACACATTTTAGGGCGCTAAATAGAACCAGGCACCATCTGCTCCCAACAGGGAGATGCTGGCAACATGCCCAAAATTCGCCTTGGCAAAGAGCCCCATCCCCCATCTGTGCAGGCTTCCAGCTCCACGGACCCATTTTTGTAGGTCGCTGAGAAGTTGAGAATGATGCTAGCCCAGCTTCCCTCACGTACTGTCTGAAACATCAGCCAGCAGTGTAGTCCAGCTGCCCAACACCTGGAGACCCGCCCTGTCTGAACCCAGCAAGCCAGCACCCGCAAGCAAAGCCCCAAGCCCAGCACTTTGCAAGGCCGGCTTGTCTGACTTGTCTGAGACTTCCAGCCCAAGCAAAGCCCGCTCAAGCACAACTAAGCCCAGTGGCCTCCTAGCCCGACCGACCCACGCGCCAACACAGTCAATCAAGACCGTGCGCATTGATCACCGCAGCCTCTGCTTTGCTGTCGAGACTTTCTGCGCAACTTCCGCTCATGACATCCACTGCCCCAGCACGCAGCGCCGCTGACTCTTGGCTCCATGTTTCACTGCTGGTCCTGTGCATCGCCTTGCCCTTGCCTCGGGAATTCCTGCACAACTTCGGCCCATGACATAAATTGGTCCAACGACGCCAGAACCTGTCCATTCCTGAATCGCCTTGACCAGCTCTGCTGCTTGCAGTCGAACCACAAACGCTGTGCGCTCGGCTGGGCCGAGGCGGGCAACGCGCAGCGTTACAATTAAGCCACCAGTGCCGAGCTTCATGAAGAGACCTTTCAATGCGCGAATCCCATGAACCCAAAATGCAGGAACCGTTGTCACTACTTGATGGAAGACAGCCTCGATCTAAAGCAGCTCTGACCGCGTGAAGAACGCATATCACACATGCGTCTGCATTGACCGCCATGTCAACGTCCATCTTTGGATCCGGGCCTCCTTCCCAACGGTCAACGGAAAGTCGTGAAAAGGATCAATATCAGCCAGCTCGATCAGCGCGCCATCTGGCCCAAGCTGGAGCTGCCGCCCTTGCCGCGTGGTGATCTTGCACTGAGCGCCCTCGATGGCCAAGAGTTCGGCTGCCTCAGCCGTCCAGTTCTCGCTATAGCCAATCATCTGGATGTGCTCCTAGCGCGCGCAGAAACTGTTCCCGTCAACAGAACTTGTTTGACTGTTTGACAATCGAACCCCTTCACAGAAAACTAGGGCTGCTCCAATGTCAGGCCGATAAAAACATTCAATGCGACTAAAGTGGTGCAGCGCCCGTAGAAGACTACCATGACTACCACGAGTCTGCTTGGAATCCATAGCTTGCTCCACTCTTCATCCGCCTATTCAAACTCCCCTGCCGATCAAATTGATCAAGGAAATTCAGCCACCTAAAAGCAAATTTGCAGACTATGCCAAAATTTGCCGCCGGAAACACCCAGTCGTCACCACACCCGATTCTCAACACTCACATTAAGACAATAAACGAAAAGAGGATCATGTCTTAGCTCGACCAAAAGCAAGCTGTGCAATTTCTCTCATGTCAAGCGAGCAAGAGCTGAGAGCATCCCAATGCAGAATTTGCAAACAACAAGAAGCATAGTGTTCAAACCAAACCGCAGCCTGGGCGGGCGTAGTCGGCATCACCTTTGTTTACTGCCACTCTGTCCACAGATTGTGTCATGCCAAGGACGACAGTCAACGGGATGTAGTGCCCCTTTCAAGGACAGAACATCTTGGATGATTTTAGGAAGGTCACTGAATGCATCTAGGTCCCTCAGTAGAGAGGTTAGAATGAGGGTACCCTTTTTCTGCAGTCTAGTTTAGTAGGGGAACCCTCCCCCAAAAAAGGGTAAAAGGGCCCTACTGGGGACCTAGGTACTTATCCCAAAGGATCGGAAGTGCTTTGAAGTTGTGTCCCTGTCTGGAAGTTGTCCACTCCTCAGCCTCGGCCTCAGCATCGCGGCGGTGCTTCTTGCTGACCCAGCTGTAGCTCCTCTGGATGCCTGAACGTGCGTTGCTTTGTCTGAATAGGCCTCAAGCAGTCAGGCTGCCTGGCTATGCTGGGCTTGGCCTTGTTCCTGTATGTCCGAGCCCCAGCCCCCGCCGCTAGGAAGATAGAGTCAACGGCCATGAATGTCCCTCAGTTGCGGTCTCAGAAAAAGCTGATACCGCAGAAGCCCCACTTCCAGCCTTCAACCATGGACCGCGATGTCCTCCAACCAATTCAAAACTTCAAGACCAACGAGGCCAACTCAAAGGCTAGAGAGCCGATCATGCGCATGGCGCATCTAGACGAAGAGAATCCTAAAACTTGAAGAACTCAAGGCATCAACAACCCATCTTGGCAAGCAGCCACTCCATTTACTGATTGGGAACCAACCATCAACACATCTGACTCAGCCAATTAATCTTCTCCTGGCCTGTCCATTAGATGCGCTTTCGGTCGCATGGCATTCTGTACACCTCTCGAACCCCACGCGCCATCCTATGCACACTCCTTGGACTTTTTAGAAGTTCGCTCTTGACAACTGAGGCGCCTCTTGTTCTGAATCTCTGTTTGCAAGAGTGGCCTCGAACCATCCCAAACGCTGAAACACACAAACAAACAACAACAACAACAAAAAACGGAAAGGGGCCCGGGCGGAGGAGGCTTTTTCAGGCCTAGCTTGAGATCTCCAAAGCCCGCAGGGATTCGGATGCCTGAAGACACCGCCGTGCCCACCGCACAGCCCAGCAACAGGTGGCCCGTGACGGCTGCAGCGCCTGGAGATGCGTTCTCACGGTTCTGCTTCCCCCCCTATTTGGTGGTTTGGAGCCTGGTCTAGAGCGTGCGGAGTTTCCCATTGTCCCTCTACCAAAACCATGGCTCAATCCCCAAACCACCAATCCAAATCACCAATTATTAGGGAAGCTGAAAGGTGAAACGCAGATTCGCTTGGTCTTATTCACGGACTGATAGGATGCATGAAAAACTTGTGAGAAGTGAGTGAACGAGCAGTCGTCCCTCTGACAAAGAGACATGCGCTTGAGCACTCACCTGAGATTCAGTCACACCTCGCCCGTCTCCACTTTTTTTTTGTGTGTTGCGACCTACGGTGGCTAGTTTTGCCCCATCAAAAGCACAGTTTTTGACAATGTTCAGAAACAACGGACGAGTTCTCGTGGAAATATGGGCAAAAAATAAACATCACTAGCACGCAGAACAACTCAACGGAACAACTGAACAACTTGCGAGTACCTACCGTCAAAGTTTCTGCCTTGGCCCAATCTTCCCTATACTGAATCTTCTAAGTGCATTTGCAAGAGAGACCATAAACTCATCGAAGGCACGCGCGATGCACAGGGAGGTTGTGGGCTGCCGTTTACGTGGCTGTTCATGCTGAGTTTCCACAACGAACACGATATGTGCACACACACAGACCTCGCCATTTCCAGCTGTTGCAAGCTGCCAGCAAATCCAAGGCAAACAAAAGACGCAACCAATGGAAGTTGACAGCTGATGACATTGCTTCTGGCAACATGACACTGAAAGCTACAGTATGGACACAAAACCTTGAGTTTGATTCGTCTCAATCCTTGTTCCTGCTGGTTTGTGTGTGCAGGCAACGCAAATGCTACAAGTCACAAGTGAGGCCGAAGCAATTCCCAGGCCGCTTCTCCTTGCCTATTCCGACAGCCAGCGTGCCAGCACCTGCCGGCCAAGAATGAATCAAGGTTGCGATCAGGTGCTGCCTCTTGCCAACAAGTGGTTCAGCGCGGTCTGAGACTGTTTGTGTTAATTTGCGAGAGTTCACTTGCACCAGTCGTGAAGCCGCGTTCTACTGTCAGCTTGTCCGTGGCAGCCGGCAGAAACGTGATGCATCGTGCAGCACGTTAGCTAACCTAATCCTGCGCTGATCAGCATGCTCAAGGGAGCATGTCCAAAAGCAAGTGGCACCTTTACGCATACACAAAACGTGCCAGCTGCCTTCGAATTCTGGGAATGAGTTGCTGTCAGCTACGGAGCGAGTGTTGCTTCAGTAAAAATTCAGGACGCGCAACTGGCCCACATACGCGCTCCTAATAATCGCTTTTTTGCTGGGCGTTCATGTTTCCAACTGTTTGTGAGAATGAACATGCAATGCTTCTGATCTTCATCGCCCAATTGAACGGCGGAGAGTCGTCACCGCTCTCCTCGCGTCCCTGCGCTAGGCCTCTATGACGCACCCACAATTTGGCCGGAAGAGCCACATCCGTCACCGCGGGATCCCAAGCAAGCGAGACGATCAAATGTGCTTTGTTTTTTGGAATGAAAGGCGGAAGGAATTCAATGTTCGTGGAATCCTGGTCAGAAACAAAAGACCGGTGACCATTTGCACTCTTCTTACTACTTTTGGCTTGGAATCCTCGTCTTTCGCACCCTTTGCAATTCCTTCTGCCGATGCATGTGTTTCATCATTTGCGTCCGCTTCCTTCCACCGCTCACAGCTTGAAAACGTTGCTTCCACAAGTATTGGCGCGGACAAGACTGTGAATGTACCAACCTTCCGCAATACCCTTCACTCCGCAACAACCTTCCGCATGGCACGAAAAGTACATGTTCAAGACTAGCGTCCCTCTCCCCACGGTCAACTTTCGGGCAAAAGCAAA